GACCTGGAGGGACGACAGGCCACGGATGCCGCCGCCATCTATCAACAAATATCAGAGATAGCCTGGGGTACAAGAAACTGAGCAGAACATACCCAAAGCAAGTAAACGCAGACCTTCAGTTGAAGCTGGTTCCGACATATTGTCCTGTTAGCACGCAGAGTGAGATGCGAGCGAGAGGGAGGGAGAGTAAGGGAGGGAAAGAGAGTAGTAGCGCCGTGAACCCTCTGCCCGTACTCGCAATTGCTGAGTGCGGTACAAGGCGGTTCCAGCGTGGAGTGAGTTATAAGTTCAAGAGCACTGACGCTGAGAATAACCAAGTTGCACGCTATAAATGGACAATATATCGGATTCATGCACTGCTTCATGGGCTATTTTGCTAGTTCGTTCCCAATTTGACAGACCGCCACAGCCTGCGGACAAGCACAGGGATACGAGCAACAAGAACGCATGTATGACAGTCCTGTGTATTCAACAATAAATATGAACGTAAAGGTACATCAGCAAGACTGCATCTGCCTAAACCTAACTTTTCAGTCTATTCTGGTCTAGGCACTCTTCTCGCTCTATACCCGTGGGGCGCTCTCGATGCTCCGTGGTTTGATAGACCGATATAGCGCGAATAGATGGTTGTCCGAGTCTCGAAATTCCACGGGCTGTCAAAAGCTGTCAAGTCACAACTCGGACGCCTGCCCTCAACAACCACCTGCGCTCAATCATCGTTGATTTCTCTCACGAATCAGACTCTCTTGAAGCGTCCCTTCGGCGCTTCAAGCTTTGCTTTCATCTTCTTCCTTCCACCTTCTTTTCCTCCCTTAAGTTTGTCTACCCACGACCGTCACTTTCTTCCGGCGGTAAACATCGATGGCGCGCACTTGCGCACGACTGGAACTCGACGACACCAATGGAGGAGACACAGCAGAAACTTCACGGGTCGGGGTCACAGAAAATCCCGTAGCTGAACATACCAGGCGAGTCATACCCTCCTTTGCGACTACTACTCTCCGTTTCGTTCGACTGACATGACCATATCTATTTTCGGCTTATTCCCTGCTCTTACCCGCTCTGTGACCTCGCCAACTTCCAGCGGTCATTGAGGGGCCGTTACGGCGTTAGGTCGCACAGGGTGAGAGGCTTCCCCGCATCAGTCGTATCATTTCCACTTCCCACACTGACATCCGTGTTTGCGTTGCAGATAGACAGGTTGCCTGCTCGGCACTTGTCACCTGCTTTTTGTGAGTCTCGTCTCTGATTCTCGCAATGTTTATGTACGTGGCTGATTTCTGTGCATTGTTCCATCTATATCATTTCATAGATTCAGAGACAAAGGCTCTTCAAGTTCGCTACACATGGAGTACCTTCGAGAGGTTTGTGCTAGTTCGTGTAGTCTATACATCAGTGTACAGCCAGTCTGCTCGAGCAGTTATTATGTATATTCTGCAATAAAATACATTTTGCCACCCAAACTAAGCAGTCCGAGTGAAACCCATCGAGCTGCATGGCATGATCCACGACAGAAACATCGCGGTCTATCGTTCCCTACCGCCCTCTATCCTGCATCTACCAGGATCCGAACATGTCTAGCTAAAGGCAGGTCTATGATGAACAGGCGTAGATGTAAGACCTTTATAAAGGTACCTGCTAGTAAGCACAGGATCCTTTACAATGGTTCCTCAGGAAAATAATAATAAATGCCAGCACTGGGCTGGCTACTGGGGCGGCCGGGGGGTGGTTCTGGGTGGCCGGGTGGCCCAGGGTGATGGGGTAGGGCGTATGGGGGTGGTCCTAGGGGTAGGGTAGGGGGTAGGGGATGGGGTAGGGGTGCTAGGAAATGGGTAGTGCTAAGGTAGCCTGGTACTAAACCTAAGGCGTCACCTATAGCCAAACCCTAACCAAACCCAAACCAAGCCTAACCCTGTAGCTGAGGGTGTCGGCGTACGAATGTGAGTACTAGGAGCGCTTGTCCTAGGGGCACTAGCCCAGAGAGAATGTGGGTGAACTGAGACCGTGGGCTTGGGGCTGGATACACCAGGACACAAGGTCACACTGAGTATGGCGAGAAGCAAAGGAGATCGAGTTCCGAGACTACCACTTCGAACCTTTACAAATGGTAATTGTAACCGATCATAACATCTGAGTCTACTCCGATCATGTTGCGAGCAGACATATGTAATGGTGTCCATAATGTGTCCATGTCTACTTCGAACCTTTGCAAGCAGACGTAC